TATGGTGTACATGTTCCTATCCATGCGAATCTATCATTTCCAACCTACAATCATAAGACAATGTTTATGACAAAAACAAATTCAAATTTAGCTTTCATGGACTGAACTTTATTTATTCTTAAGTTCTTGCCATATGGTAGCATAAGGGCCTACCAGTGCTTCCATGTTGTTAAGCAGCTCACCCATATTGATCAATGTACTGTCACTGACCAAAATGCTCTGCCTTTTGTAGTCAAATGACAACTATAGAACTCATAAGAATTGCCAACCCAACTGGAAGGTGTACAGACACAAGAATGTGTCAACTTAACAGGATAGATTATAAACCTCAGGTTGTGTGATAGTGATAACTAAAATGATTATTCTTGATCGACTTCTGAAACTCTTCAAGATCATTAAGACTCCCACTGACTTGTTGACATATTAGTTTCTCTCTCAAGGAACATTCCTTGATGATCAAAAACAAATATTCAAAAGTCAATGCGAATTCTTGACAAGAAAAACTTCATGGAATTGATCTTAGTTCATCCTTTGTTTTAATTAAAACATCACAACTTCCAATTCCAAATGTGCTAAAGTAAGAAAACATAATTACTCCACATTTCGTGAGGTATTATAAACCTACTTAGTATAAAATAAGTTTCAAGATACGATTGGAAGTAACTAGAGCATGACTCTAAAACTTGATTGGAAAACAAAGTATGACCCATCTCTCAATTGAACCATTTCAACAATATATGATTACTCTTTTTAGTCAAACAATTGTACTAAGATGTTCTTCGAGGATCAATTGAGACATAGCTCCATAATCATTAAGATGATCACAAAACACGATACTAAAGTACTCTCCTTTCCTTTCAGATTGGAGAAACCTTTATCTTTCTGCCTAAAATATTCATCTTATTCGTTCTGCCACTCTTTGAAAACCCTTTTCAAAAAGTTAGAATTATGCGTAATGTTATTAACACAACCATATTTACTGAATCATCAGAAAATAATGACGAATAGAATTTTCATCCTTTGTGACAGATTTGAATCATCCATATCAATGGTCTAGATTCATTAGTCCTTCACTTTGACTCACATAAGACATGTGATCAATGAATTAGTCATAATCTTCCAAAGATCAAGATTCTCATACATCACACAATTCGAATTGTATGACTCCAAGTTTCCATCCAAATGGAACTTGGGAGATGATAATTCTTTATCACTTAGTCAATTATGACATTTACCATAAGTGAAATAATAAGAATCAGATCCACAGTTAATATTGCTAAAAATAAAAATGTAACCCACACTTTTATATATGTCATTGCAAGGAAATATAAAGTAAACCAACTATGTAAAACAAAATTTCACTTTTATTGATAACAAACGAAAAATTGGAACTTGTCCTTACAATGCATAAATGAAAAACAATGTGTCTTGACATTTCCTAAGAAATATATTAAATTATCATAACTCCTAAGTAGTAGCTTCCAAACTCTAATTATCGAACCATGCACCCGAAATCCATATGTCACGATCAAATTCAACTCACTCTTCTTAAGCTTCCTTCTTTCTCTTAGATCCTGTAATACCATCAAAATGTGATCATCACATCATGTATTAAGAGTCTATGAACAGGAACTTATGAAAATAATGGAGTTCGATAATGGATGTACCTGAAGTAGAGTCACATGATTTTACTTTAGCATCTCTAAGATCTTTCAGGTAGTCTGGGTGGCTTCACAACCAATATCCCTTCAATTAGCAATAAAAACATGTGGAACTTTTATGGTTAGCACATATAACTATATCAAAACTAGCTTTTCTCTTTACCATATGATCAAAAAGTTTAACTGTGGCCTATCCCTTTCCATTGGGAAGAGAACCTTTTCTGGACCACCATTGTCAATTTCCATGGAAATTTTGGAATCAGATCCTTCAAATACTTTCGCTTCACTTGGGCTCTTAAGCATTTCTGCTTCAACAACAATCAACATATGCGTCAAATTAATTAGGGTCACGTCGTGGTCGCTCATATAAAAGTTCTCAACGAACTGACTATATGGCTCAGGAAGCAAAAGGAGAACCAAATTAATGGCTTGCTCCCTTGGGAAAACGACACCCAACCTATCCAACTTGTCAATGTACGATTTCATTTTCAAAACATACGTACACACAAAATTTCCATCTTGATGTTTACATGCCAATAGGGCTTGAGTAATTTCGTATCTTTAGACTCGAGGGAATCGTAACTTTGGGAGAGTCACTGGAGGAGGAGGAGGAAAAGTTGGAGAAGCATGACATCCATTTCCACCATTGCTCAAAGAAGGGAACATACTTTCACCTTGATCAGAATGTGGAATATCATCTTCAAATGGTAGAGGAAAACCATTTCCAAAAGAACAAGGAAGACCATTATTGTCTTGACTTGACATCTATAAAGGAGAAAAGAGAATTCAATTTAGTTGATTTTAATCCTTAATTATTAACCATAAATTTAAATTAAGCCTAGGATCCATATTTTCGATTCGAACTTTGAAGGGAGATGCCGTAATCAAATTCAAATCTATTTTAGGTCGGTAACGCTTTTACCAATTTCAATTTGATGAAATTCCTAGATCTTTTGAGAGTCATTGAATGTAATCAATGACATGTTTAGTCTCGTTTATGCTCTCACTTTTGTGACTGAGATGCCGAGCATCACAAACGAGATGAGAATAACCATGCAAATTAGCTTGGCACACTCGATGTTATTTATCATCTCGTTTTAATGTACCGGTTAGCCACACATGCTCCATTAATCAACGATAATTTTCGAGACACCCATTACCACCCTTTATTTGTCCCCATTAGTGTGCCGGTTAACCACACACGCTACACTAACGACTCATAAAGTCTAATGTACAATTTCATGGATTAGCATACAAATTCACATTTTCCTAAAGTAACAAAGAGCGGGATTTTAGAAAATGGTTTAGTTACTTTATATCATCATACTTTTAATGAGATTATGTCATATCAAACCTGTTCGGCTAACGACCCTCCACCATACAAGAGAGCGGTGGTTAAGAATGGATACTCAATGACAGTCATTTTATAGGTCGCTTCCTTAAACTCTCCTTTTAGTATGGCTTCGTGAATGAGGCATACTAGCGGTTCAACTGACTTTTCTTCTACATATAGTATATATTAAACCTTTTATTATATACATAGTATAAGATGTATTTAAAAACATTTTAAAATATCAAGGGTTTAATCGTTTAGTAAATTAAACTCTTAATTTAATTAAATTTAAACCATTTATGGATTTATTAATTATCCTTTAATTAATCATTTAATTAAATTATTAATAACATCCATAAGGATAATTCTTATCATATAAATTTATGATTATCTAAACTATAATTATCTTCTAACATTTAGGTTTTATTTAATTATCTAATATGACCAAAATTCGGATTATGGCAGATTCAATAAAAGATAATTACAAAATAACAACCAAATAAATCAAGTTAGGCAAGAAAATCTGAAAATTCGGAATACACCGAGCTCACGTCGTGAGCCTCTAAGCTCACGTCGTGAGATCTGAATTTCAGCAAACAGAATCCTGAAAAATCTGAGTTCACGTCGTGAGCATCTAAGTGCACGTCGTGAGACCAGTCAGACAACAAACATATTCAGATTATATCAGGTCTCACATCGTGAGCAGCTATGCTCACGTCGTAAGATGGGTTTTTTTAGAAAAACTATTCACCAATGTGAAAATACAAGAAAGACAACCCAAGGCTCTGATACCACTGATGGGTTATTAGGGTTACAACTACAATGCCTTAAGCAGAAAACAATCAAACAATTCAATTGATTAGGGCACATGCAACCAAATTGGATCTATGTCTTTCACATATAGCAACATACTATGAATGGCTAATCTACAAGAATTTTCTATGAACAAACTAATTCATAATATAAGAAAAAATAACCTTAAAGATTGTTATTGTAAACAATCTTGAAATCTTCCTTGAAATACTCTTGGAAGCAAGCGCCACAAGTGTCGCGCCTGTAATGGTTCGCACCCAAAACCTAGCAACCAAGGAACTTGAAAAGAGAGAGAGAGAGAGAGAGAGAGAGAGAGAGAGGAGGTGAGATTTTTGGCCAACCCTAGAAATCATATGAGTGTCGAAAATCCTTTGTATAAGGGTCTTTATATAGTGCACCAAGAAACCCTAGATAAGTCCCAAACCAATAAAATAACATTATCTTATTATTTGGTATTTATCTGGTTTCCTAATTATCCTCCAAGGATAAATCTAGAAACCCTAAACCCCTATAAAAATCGTCAATGGCTTCTAGGAGGGTTCTAGAATGCCTCTTGCTCAACTATTGAACAATTATACTTCAGTACCTGCACTTTCAATTAATCTAATTAATCCCAAACTTAATTCCAATTAATTTTTGATTAATTCTTAATTAAACATTACTATTTATAATTAATATATTATTCTCATAATATATTAACAAATCATTTATTTGATTTCTAATTAATTTATTAACCAAGTAATAAAGTAATAAATCAGTCTCTCTCTCTAAAAGCTATCCTATTCAATTGCTAGGTTTGAGGGCAACCCAAAAGGACTACACTACCAACAATTGAAGTTTATACCAATTATAATTATGGGCTTAGACACCTAATCCAACATTTGTAACATTAATTTTTATTTTTTTGTTTTATATGACATCAAGTCCTTTCTCTTTTATTCACTTTCAGGCCTACACTTAATGAATTTAAATTTGAAAATTCCTCTTGTCTATAGTTGAATCAACAATACTGCTCAAGTCACAACTTCGTTTAGTTAATGCAAATTCACACATCTTTTTAACCCCCCTCCCCCCCCCTCTTTTTTTTGGAATTTAGTTAAGATTATATGCTACTACTCTCTAGCTATATATCTTTAACTAACATTTAATTCCAATTTTTGTTCTTCTTTTGTTCTCTCAAGACATCTCAAGACATGGATTCCAAAGAAGATGGACAGACTTCTAAAGCAAAGGCTTCTCATAAACCATCCAAAACTCAAGCAACTGGACCTTCCACTGTGGAAAACTCATCATCACCTAAAATCGCCATGGCTGCATCCAACTATATTGCACTTCTTAAAACCCAGGAACAACCTACAGAAGTCGGTGTTATAGTTGAATATTTTCAAAAATTTCCATTGGCATATGTACTGCTTTCTACTTCTCCAGCTCCACACTCTCTTGTTTCAAACGTCTTCTAAGCTACAACCATCTCTCCAAGAGCAAAGTCAAAACAACTTTATGTTGAATTTGATCGTTTTCGATCTAACTTGGTTCTAACTAAAGAAGAGTTCGCAATCAGTCTAGGTCAAAGCAATGGTTCTTACAAACCTTCGATATTTGTCACACCTTCTTCTGCTTAATTGTTGACAATGTTTAAGGAAATGGGGTACAGATTTGAAGAAAACACTGAACCAAACCTTTCAAGAATTAGGAAACCTTGCCTTCCCATACCATGGCACTTTCTCAGTTCTGTCCTCACTTGGTTTCTTTTCGAATCAGTTGGGGATGCAGTCGCAGTAAAACAGATAATTGGATTGTCATGTATGGGCTTTTCTATGGCATCAATGTTGACTACACGTCTATTCTTTGGGAAGACTTCCTTACCTTTCTCCCTACCTCAAAGAATAAGTTCCTGATTCCTTATCCTTACTGGTGGTCTATCATTATTCATGATGTCATCAATAATAGCAATCTTACACCAGAGAAGATTCCAGAAGGCCCACTACCACTGTACTTGCGTATATCACCATATAGGATCCGTATTGCATCTGAATCTGAGTTTTCACAACCTGTCATCATTCCAGATGCTATACTTGCAAAGCCGGATGAAAACAGTGCCTCTCTACGCTCATATCAAAAATACGTCCAGGGAACTACTTCATCTCCAAAAAAGAAGAGGAAGCACTTAGATCATGCATCCAAGAAGTCGGCAAAGAAGAAGAAGTGATCAAAGTCAGATCAACTGCCTCCTATCCCATCTTCAGCAGTCTCTGATGATAATCTTGGAATATATTTAGATGAGCCCACATCTCCTCCTAAATCTGGTACAAGCTCTAAGGCACTCTCTTTTTTAGATTCCTTGTTTCAGCCTCCATTTTGTTATGTCGAACCATCCTCCCCAGCCCTAGTTTCACCAGCAGGATTTCAGTCGGTTCTAGAGTGTCCGAGCAATTTTGTCTCCTTGGATTATGACTCACTTGAGGACGATGATCAAGACAGTGAAAAGCATATCCAACTTGAAGATCTTTCTAAAAGCTCTCCAGTACAAGATAATCAAGACGAGGATACTCCAATGCAAATGGTAGACATACCTTCTAGTGAAGGACTGATAGTTGATGATGAACCACACGACATGTCAATTAACCTATACTCCACACCATCTACCAGGACATTCAACATTGATCTTGATAATTACTCTCCCTCACCTCAAAAAGAGTCTCAAGAACATGATTATACTCATGAAGCTAAGTTCTCTTCTTTTCCACCAGATCCTCATCAAGACGATGGTACTCCAGTAGATACAAATGAAGCAAATACATCTGAACCTGATCCTAAACGTATTAGAATAAATGCCCAGATGGTAGCTGATGGTATTGAGGAAATTCGCTTTCACACATCTTCTCGCTCTAAATATCTGGCAAAATTTCAGTGGTATCTTGAACGTATGGCAGACAATGTGTGTATCCTTAATGAGACAACAAAAGCACAGGTAAAAAAACTTATGCTTGCCATTGAAGACTTTGATGGCACAGCTGCATATATCAGGGGACAAGTTATTCGTAACATGCAAAGGATCGAAACTCTAGATCAGAAAATTCACAACACTATTGAAGATTGTCTATCTCCGATGCATCAGAAAATAGATGACTTTATTCAGTCCTTATCCAGTCTAGAGTCTGTCTACGAATCCAAATTAGATCATCTGTTGAATCATGTCACTGCTCAAGACCGGTACATTTCCACTCTTGAGAATTCCATTGCAGAAATATCTGAAGCTTCCATATCATCCTCCACCTCTCCCTTTCAAACCTTTAGTGAGCAAGTTCAATGTCAATTGGATTCATTACGATCTGACATTGCAAATCTATAAAAATCCAATTCCCAGAAAGACAATAACTCCTCACGTGAAATATCTTCTCCTCAGAAGGCTATTCAGTTGCTAGTAAATGAATTTAAGGCTATCAAGACACAATCTTCTTATTCTGTTATACATGAACTTCAGCAAAAAGTTGCCTTGACTGATTCCAAGCTAGACTTGATCTTGGCAAAGTTATCTGGTTCAAATGATAGGCCACCTGGACGAGAGGGGGAAAAGTTCAACATGTCCAGATCAAGTCAGTCTCCTATCATACATCAAATTCTAGACTCACCAAATGAGTTTGAGAAAAGGAGACAAGAGAAATTAGAGTCACTCGACAAAATGGCTGCTGACGCAAGATTAAAAGCTCAACAGAATAGAGCAAAGATGGCAGAAACAGAAAAGGAACTCATTAGAAAACAAGGGATCAAAAATCCAACTCTAAAAGTTCCAAGAAGGAAAGATATTTACATCACCAAACCTGTCACCATATCAGAACCATTCGCTCAACAAAAGCTTCCTCAAATTGATCCTAAGGATAGAGGAAAACAGAAGTATGTCTTCAGGTCTATGGCCGGACGGTATGGAGTGCAGGGAGAGGTGCGGGACGTTTCCCGCACAGGGGGAACACCGCACCATGGGTACGGGAAGGCTAGCGCGAGAAGACGGTGGGGGGTGGGGATCCCGTGTTCTCTCTCTTCATGCAATTGGACAGTTTTTTTATCTTTTTTTTTATCTTTTTTAATATTTATAAAATTATATACCTATTAAAAAAATATAAAAAATATATCAGAATTCATGGTTTTTAATTCCCTACAAAATGAGTATAATATATGTATGAAATATATTTAAAAATAAAAAATAAAAAAAATAGTGAGGGGAGCTTCCCACCCATTCCCTGGGTTTTAGGTGAGGGAAAGGAAAATGAGGGAAACGGGGGTATGGCCCACAAAAAGTAAGGGAAGCTTCCCTCCCACACCCTCCGGTCTAACAAGGAGTTAGCTAAAGAAGATGAAATGGATATAGATAAAGAGTTAGCTAAGAAACTTAAGGCTAATGACTTAAAGTCTAAACAACAGGTGCTTCTAAAAAAAATCTTCAGAGATCTCTCCTGAGGAAAGGAACACATGACACGATGAACATTTCTGAGCACCATCTCCTAAGAGGACCATCTTCTTTAATCCTGATAGAGATTCTTATCAGAAGGTCAAGCTCATCAAGCCCACAAACTTCTTCACACCTCCTTCAGGCCTCACTAAAGAAAAGTGGGATATTCCTGCACCCCCGAATGGTATGAAGTTCAATTTATGGCCTAGTGAAATTTATCTAGTTGAGCCTGATGTAGACATTGAAGAGGTGAAGAAAAGTTTCTTCGTAAAGAAACCAATACAATTTGTCTCCGTATGGTCAAAGTTAAAGATTTCACCAATTAGAAAAATTAACATACAAGAATTTAGAAAGATTTCATATGCATTCTTTCAAGGAAAAAGATAAGACAACTCTGAATTTATGTTTTCTGAAGCTGATTTCCCTAGAATAAATCAAGCTGATACCAGATCATTGATCATTTGGTTGAAGCAGAGGGCGAGTACTAATGAAGCTTATGCAGATGTCCTACAGCGCCTAAGAAAATATGTGCTCAACATGGTTATGGATTTCAGTGTTGACTGGGAACTTTGACAGCTAGGACAAAAGGAAGCTGAGGAGCCGGATTTGGATCTAAATATGGAAAATGAGTCACCTGGGAACATACTAAAGAACCCACACAGAGGAGTTGTATTCTCTTCTAAAGGTCGACTGAGATTTATGAGAATCTCTCAAAAACATCGATTCTCTTCTGAATTCATTCAAGGCATCATTGGTTTATTGAAGAGAACATGAGATCAAGATAACTCGCTGAGAGTGAAGATCATTCAAGAACTTACTTGGTTTTTAAGTCTTCGACAGTGGTTAATAAACTTGAGAAACAAAGATTAGATTTTGTTTTTGTTTTCGTTTTAAAACATGGGGATGATGTTTTCTTTCTGCTACTAGTAATTCATCTTTTTGTTAAATTTCATCTTGCATGTTATTATTTATTTACTCCTTATTTCAGTAACCATCACATAGGGGGAAACTGTTGGAAAATATTTGTATATGATTATCACTTGAAGTAAGTTGAGTCTATGTCTATATCTCTCTAACAAACATTATCAGAATGTTTTAGGTTGGAAAGATCGTGGAGATTCAACAAGTGTTTGAAGAATCATATGTTGGAGCACTTGAAGTGAACATGGAGCACTTGTTGTACGCATGGAGCACTCGTTGTTGACATGGAGCACTTGCTGAACATGGAGCACTTGAAGAAAGTAATTTGGACCATCATGATCTCAGATGGCACATCTAGATCATATGTGGAGCATCAAGACGTTGATGGATCAAGCTTTGATAGATCCACATGAATACTTGGTGGCTCATCTCAAGGCACTGGATCAACATGATCACATTGATGGCTCAACAAAATTACACATGGCATATCATGGCACGTACAAGTACTGAATATCACATCTAATTTGTCCATGGTCGATCATGATCATGTAGTTGTACATCTTCAAGTTCAAGACACATTCCAACATTCAAGAAACAGCTCAACTTGATCACCGGCACTTCTGGAAGTTGATGACATCTTAGAAGACAATTGAGCAACATGATGCTCATGTTTTTCATCACATTTTCAATGTTGATCAAGAAGGCTCAAGAAATGCAAAGACTCATAACTTGGATGGAACCCTAACGGAATACAAACAGAACTGGAATATTCCATCCATTCTCCGTTAAGTATGGCAAAGGTGTCAACTGGTGATTAAGTCATGATGACGTGTCAACACCTAATTGGTCAAGCCATGTCATGGGCTTTTCCAAAGCCCATAAATAGGCCCCTTGGGATCCATTATAAAGGTGCTCTTCCTGCTTCATTTCTGCCCATTCTGCACAATTACTGTTTAGACTAGTTTTCAGAGAGCCACTTTAGTGTTATAGTGTGTTTTACATTCAAACACTTGTAACTGAATCTTTATGAATATGAAACACTTTTGAATCATTGATCTTGAACATACAAAAACGTTTTTATCATTAATTTGGTGATTCATGACACGTTATTTTCCGCATTACTTGCTACTTGACGATTCTAAAACTCTGTTTTAGTATTTTCAACACTTGGACTCTTCTAGTCTAGGTTTACTAAATTTTTCTCATCTTCTTCATATTGCACCATTCTGCCAATAAAATATGAATTGATACTGGTTGAGGTTAGAAAATATGGTCTTGTTGATAAGACTATGTAAAAAATGATTCGTGATTTTTAATATATGCAACGAAAATATTAGAATTGCAAATATTACTACCGTGCTCAAAAGTCAAGAAGCGTAGAAAGTTAGCGCTTTATAATATGAAAAATACGCGTTATTAAAATTTCTAAGATGTACAATAGTTTCTCAACTTAGTAGAAAGAATATAATAAGCACAGGGGCGAGTGCAACACTTAAAGAGAAAGTTAAAAAGTTTGATATCGTATTCAACATAACTGAAAGCTACTTGCAAATGTTTGAAGTTCACAAAGACAATGATTGTTTGTACTATATGCAAGTCCTAAGTAATCATGAGTATAAAGTAGAAATAAAATGTAATATTGTTTTGTTTGAAATCGTGTTCAATGTCATTAACTGTTTTAGTAATATTTATAATAATTATATAGTCCTTTTAGGTTGGCCTCATGACACATATAGCTAAAAGAAAATGGAAAAAATAAGTTATTAATTTACTTCATAATTAATACATTAATTGGAAATTATTTTTTTAATTAATTAAATTGTTTTATTTAATTAAAGAGCTTGAATATTAATTAATCCGAGAGATTAGTTGGAATATTTGAGAAGTTCCTAGAGAGCATAGAGAAGATGATTTTAAGGTGTCCCTGATAGGGATAAGGCATGTTTGAATCAGATAAGGATGAACCTGAAGAGTTTGAATCCATTAAAGATTTAACTGCAACCTATAAATATACTACTAGGGGTCTTGGTTCATAACCCCTCTCCTAGGGCTAGTGATTTTCGAATAAACCCTAATCTATGGTTTCTCATTGTTAGCTTTTGGAGTTTGTGGGTCTCATTACAATAGAGGGGCTCTACTTTCGATCCTTAATCCAGTGCAATCGATGTAATTCACAAGATCTCAAGGAAGGAATCAAAAGGTTAGTATGTTCCTCTTTAGTTTGTTTTTTAAAGTTCGTTGTTATAAGTAGTAAAACCTAGATCTTAGGATCCATGTAAACAAAGGTAAATATTTGATTGTTTCTACTGCCTTTAGATAGTGTATTGATTATAATAAAACCCACCAATGGTATCATAGCCCAATATATTTTATGTAACATCTTGATTCAGGTAATTTACATCTTTGACCCCCTTGTTGATTTACTAAATCTTTTGCATGCAAGAAGCAGTTTGTGAAAACAAACATTCGGGATTTGTTAGGCTATTTCCTCTAGTTTCTTCACACTATTAACTAATAAGCAGAACAAATATGACCAAACTAGTCAAGAGTAACAAGAGCTTGATCTTCTGCTTAACCATTGTGATACACCTTGTTATACTACACCTCGTGTATTAAGTTGGAGGAATCATCAAATTAGTAAACTAAGTGGGTCTAGAATTCTCTAATCACTTGCAATCGGAAAACCCATGTAAAATGTAAAATTAAATAATATGTTGCTTCTGCTTGAAATTCACAGCGCGATGGAGTAGTTGTGTCGTGACCTGCAATTAAAAGGGTTTAATCACGTCGCTATAAATGTAGTTGTGGCGTGATTTGTGTCTAAAAAAGTTGTTCGCCTTTTCGATCGGATCTCTTCAGTTATCACCTAACACTTGAATTACTTTAATTCATGCACATCACAACAACCAAATACCTTTCCGACAATAGACATGTTCTCAACAAAAAACAATAACTTTCTTTTCAGAAAGGATCGATTGATCGATAATTAGATACACAAATATTAGTTGAAATTTATTCCCCGACAACGACGCTGAAAACTTTGATGTGTAATACACAGTCTATAAAATATACTTGAATATCATTCCATTTGGAAACGGAATATGGAATTATCCCCGATAATGGCGGCAAAAACTTGATTTCATAGATGATATAGACTTGAAAATACAAATCTAGTTTTACATTTATATTTCCTAGCAAATCAAACTGACTATTTACACCACGCATTAAACCTGATTAATGACAACATAACTTAGGTAACTAACGGTGTCGAACATATGGAGAACAAATTTTTACTCACATATCAGTATCTTCTTTTTAATCAATCTCAAAAGAAAGCATATAAAGGGATTTATTATAAGTGTCACTCAAATAAACTAGCAAAACAAATAAGCAAAATAAATAATCAAATAAACATAACAACCATGGCTAACAGCATAAATAACATAATATGAAGGTACTCATACTTGTATTTAATCCATCCTAGTTCAATTAATTAAAATTATTTAAATGATATTGATAAGTTATCCACCTATTCCTAAATTGATTAAAGCCATTCTAATTTCATTAATCTTATAATTCTAAGTTGTCTACCAGCAAGGATATCTGTCCTAGACTTAGTCTATTATATCGTATTATGAAGAATCAATAGGTATGATCAGTCCCATGGTTAGTGGCGACTTCTTAAATTGTCCAAGTTATTGGATCAATACCAGATATTAAATCATTCTATTATGTTTAACCTAGGGATCTTTCCACTAGTTTCCACCGTCTACGCTATTGTCTTAGTTTTCCAGCTTGGACAAGTTAATAAACAGTGTCATTCAAGATACATAATCCGAATCTAATAATAAATCATGCGCTCAGTTATATAAACATACGAAAATCAATATCCATACGCATGGATCTTTAATTGATCAAACATAATAAATTTAATAACTCTCAATACAAAATATCAAAAAATCAAACAAACTATGGTTTAACAAAAAAACAAATAATCATAAAGGGTTTAATCCCAAATTTCAACTAGAACATATAGTAGATAAAAGAATGTGACTAAATATAGATAGAAAAGTAAACAGACTGATAACCTGTAACACCTGTCTTCCTGATTGGATCAGTGTAGGGTATAAAGGAATCAAAGGCATGGTTTTTGGGAAAAATCATGTGTCACGACGTTCCATAGGTAAGTCACAACGTAACGTGCAAAAGATGAAAAAGCTTATCGGAAGAGTGTCATGACGAGACATGACTATGGTCACGAAGTGAAAATGGCGTTTCTGGCCTAAGCCCATAATTTTAGGGTTTCTCTCGTATTTAAGCATCTTGCCCCAAGGATTAGGGCACCCTCTTCAACCTCCAACCTCCTATCACAAGACCCTAGCCTCACCTTGAGAGTTTTAGCTTATTTTGGTGCTCTTGATACACTTTGATGGAGAAGAAGTAAGTTATGGAGAAAATATCAACCAAGCCACTCTACTCCACCTTTGGAATCATCCTTTGGACCATTTGTAAGACTTAAAGTTTCTACCTTTATGATTCTTTCCTTATAGATGTAGTCTTCTTTGTATGTTTTAGTCCATAAGAGGAGTTTGTATGTTGGAATGAGATAAATTTGCAACTTTATGGCTCATCAAGGTCCTTTTAGCCTTATATCTTTTAGATCTAGTATGTGGTTGAGATTTGGGAGCTTTGCATGAGTTTTAGGTCATATTCTTGTCTTTTGACCTGGCTTGGGTAAAGGACATGCATGGGTCTAGAATTTCCACAAAGTTGACATTTTTATCAGCCTTTAGAGCCCTTAGAACCTTTCTAAAAAGTTGAATTTGGAAGCTTAATGGATTAAGGAATCAATC